GGGGGTCCCAGCCTTGGATCAATTTATGAAGGATTTTTTAGGAGGACTTAGATTGTTTTTTTAGCATTTGGCACCCCCAAACACCGATGATTCGTGTCCTTCGTCGCCCCCAAATGACTTTCCTATACTGCTCATGTCCTATTGGATAATATGGTCCGACTCATTTTTAATACTAGATTTGCCAAAAGTGGAACTAGTAACAATATGACATCTTTCCAAATAGCCTCGTCTACGGTAGGAATTTTTAGCCTATGTTAAGATGTCTAGAGTTTATCTATTCAAGAAAAACAAGGCATATATGAGGCTTCATTTCTGGTTCTAGCTTGAACAAAGGTAAACTTAACTTGGATTAATATTTTAACAAAAAATTATAAACACAAGGCTAACAATCCTCACATTTTTTTTGAGAGGAACAATCCTAACAAATGCTTATGCTATCATAAATTCTGTTTTTCTTTGAGACAAATCATAAAGGCTGGTGGTGTCTTTTTTTTTTGAGGCAATTTTTTTAGGGGATTTTGAGGCAAATCATACGAGGCCCGACCAAAAGAACCATCGGGCTTGCAATTTTGTGTCGGAACATCGGTCCATTTGACCCGTCACCAAGGCACCACCAACCAACAGCCCGCCCGCGCCGGCCACCACCGCTCCAGCGCCGTCAGGATCTGCCGCCTCACACCGTGCCCAGCTCCGCCGCCCCCGCGCCTCCCCTCTCAGCCGCTCGACGCTCGCCGGAGCGGCGGATCTCCGACGCATCGCTCCCTCCCGCAGGTCAACCTCCCTTCCTCCCTCCCTCGATCTGATAAAAAATGGCCAAGGGGCGAACTTGCGCGAGACGGAGCGGCTGCGTGCCATCCCCATTTTGCGGGCAGAACCGCCTACCATCCCCGCCCCTAAACCCTATCAATTATCCCCTCTTATTGCAGGCAGCAACCGGAATCTAGGCGGACCCGCCCGCCATTCCACCGGAATTGGAAAACCTAGTAGTCCCGGCGCCTCAACCTCGCCTGAACTCACCGTCGATGGCGGCCGCCGCGGGGTCGTACGGCAAGCTCGACAAGTCATTCAAGCTTGCCGCTCGCTCCGTACTCACCGCCTTCTCCCGCGAGGTTGGTTCCCTTCCAACCCTCAACGACGCCGGGGCGCTTGACTAGTGAAAAAGCTTCGGGCCCTCGCCTTGAGTGGGGTCCGTTCGTCTTGTGTGCTCATGAGATGAATTGACTCGTGTTATTCTTGCATCTTAGGATCTTAACAATGCTTTCCCATCGTTCACGGACGCCGAAAGGGAGCACCTGTACCAAATGTTCATCTATGTGAGTGTTCTTATCTTTCCCCGGTTCACAGTTACTGCTAAATCTCTCAATCTTTGCCCTACGTGCAAGTCCTACGCCGTTAAAAGTTTGGATTGTCTATCTGTATCTGAACTGAATACTTAACTTCTGATCTGTTTTCCTTTTTTATTTTATTTCAGGCGATCAAGTCTTTGCATGGCAACATAGTGGTACAGTTCTTGCGCAAGCTGGTTTCTACTTTCTAGTGTGATGCAAATATTTAAGGCTGCACTGAACACTTAATTTTGAGCAGAGTTTAACTGGCTGATCAACTCGTGCATATGTTGAAAAAAACATACATTGCGTACATTTCTAGATATGTGTGGTGCTAACTGGATGATGACACAATCTTATCTTCAGAAACAGAAATACCCAGCACCTTGTCTTGTCCTTTTTTTCGTGGAATTGTATTACTTGTAAACTGTGCAATTACTCACAAAAGTGTCATTTCGCTTTACTATGCGCCTTGGGGCATGGCAAGACATACTCAATGTCTAGTCTATCAAACACCATTTCAATGGTTAAAAAGAAGGTGACGAGCTAATAACTGTATAGTGCAGGATTAATTCATAATTAGTAGTGCCAATTTTGCTAGTATCTGCTCTCCTTTGATCCCTTTCCATGTGCCTAACCACGATATTCTTGAGCGGACTGGGCGCATAATTTGTTTACTTTTGCATATGCGGCTGAACCACGAAGCTGATATATCTTATGTTATATTTGCTGAATCTGATGATGTTTTATTTATTTCTTGCATGCGCCAGCACTGTATTAGTGCCACTGTATTGAAGTGATACCTCTTTTTCATGCTGCAGGAGGAGTTCCGAAATTTCTGCGACGAAATAGAAGTAATTTCTTGAGCAACACTTCCTCACGATGCTGATAGATTTTGAGCGCACTTTTGGGCTCAACATAATCAGCTTCAAGTTTATTAACACCCGCGACAAATGTTGTGATTTGTAGCAGCATTTTTAAATGTTTAATGACATGACTATCAATTGTTTTAGATTGCTACTGCCCTTGACAAGGTAGATCAGTTTGTCGAAGAACAAACTCTGGACGTATTATCTTCAGACAAGTATGAACTTTTTCCTTTGCCTTTGAGATTCTGTTGTGGAATTTCTGGGTTCTAAATAGTGTTTATACTCTTTTAAGAAATAGGACCACACGGTACAGATAGGCTGCTTAGGATTTGCAATTGCAGTAGAGGTTCTCTTTTGCATGCTACTCATTACCCAAACCTATATAAATGCATGAATATGTTCTTTCTGGAAATCTAGCACAATTTTTCTTGTTTTTCCTTTCTCCAGAGTTAACCACATACAGTTCACTTGGGATGAAAGCTGATTCAATTATGAACCTATATAAATGCATCATATGTTCTTTCTTGAAGTTCAGCAAACCTTTTCTTGAATTATTGCTGTTGGTTAAAAGTTACTCAATATAGTTTACTTGGGATGACAGCTCATTCATTTGCAGGACTAGCATTGAAGACATGAAAGAAAGGATATCAAAGGAGAAGAAGGATGAAATTGAACTTTTAAAAGGTTTACTAGAGAAGGTATTATCCATCTAAAAAACACTTTTGCAACCTTAAGTTTATTATCGAAATGGGCCTTCAGCACTCCATGCCCTGTGGTTGAGTTTTGAATTATAGTCTTCTTTAAGTTTTGACTAAGTAGCAGTTGAGTTCTTATTACTCCATTGCTGCCAACACGGTATTTAGTTGCAAAGAGTTGCTCTCCCCACCACAAAAAGAAAACAAAACAAAAAAACAAAATTTGTGGTGCTGTTAATGCTGCAAGTGTTACATGATGTTCACCTTAAGAAGCGCAGACAACGCAATTTATCTTCATCTCAAACTAATACTGACTAGCTTTCTGCTCACACCAATACTGCAGACTCAAGAAAGGAACAATGCCATGAAGGCCCGAATCGAACCCTTAAAGCAAGGGGGGGATTTTAATGACACAAGAGATGTTCTCGCGAAGGTCTTACTTTAGGTCTATGTTTCTGTCGTGCTTTCTTCTTATTACCCTTCCCATTTTCATTCGATTTCCTGGGACTTGTTTTGCAGCTGAAGGAATGGAATACTGCATGTCAGAGCTGCAATGACCATTGAGCTTCTCTGGTTACTTGATGTAGTCAAGAGACATCTGCTGTGTAGCTTTATGTGGTTGTAGAGTAGAAGTTGAGTCAGGAGTCATGCTCCCCCATGAACCAATGGTGCTAACCAACTGTAGCGTGATTTTGTTTCTGAGTTGCAAGACGTAGCTGTTGTGTTTTTGTGTTTTCGTTGGCTCCTGTTTCCTGCACCCATAGTTGATGCTTTGCTTTAGTGTCCTGGTTCCATGTTCTCCCTTGACAGTTGTTTTTCAGTTTGGTGTCCCAATTCTTCATGAAAAATGCCCAAGAAAAAAAATGCATGTGTTCCCAAAATTACTGTGCCTATTTATAAGGATTTTGAATCTGAAGTTGAAACAAATATCAAGATTGCTGCAGCACTCCATAGCATAGCCATTTTACCTCTTTTTTTTTTTTGTAAATTTCCACCCTAATATGGTGCCAATACTGAATGTTGCCTCCTATGCTGAATGATAAACTGAATTGAACTTACCGAAGGATTGCTGTTAGCAACTGGGATTGAAATTGGTTGGTTTGGGATCTAATCATGGTGGGGTGTTGAGCCTGGAGGGAATGCAGCGAGCAAGGTGACCAAGTGCTCTCCAGAAGCAGCTTCTTTGGAGACGAACTCTCGCCGGCAGACAAGCTGGGGTTCACCAAGGCAGCCATCCAGGCAAAACCAGACTCTGTTCTCAGTCCCAAAATAAGTGTCGTTGACAGGTGTTCTCCTCGCCTTTTGTGTGCATAGTTAGTTTGCTCAGAGATCAGTCTCAAGTCTGAATTTTAGGAAGTTAATTTCCCTGTAAGATGGAGTGGGTTCCCATTGATCCTTAGGTCTTTGCAAAATTCTCATTTTGCATGATGAAGCGCCTGTGCTGCCGAAGAGGTCGGCGCCACCTCGGCTTGGGCGAAAGTTGACTGATTCACTCACAGAAGGTAAGATCAAGATAGTACTGTTTGCTACTGAGTTTTCTTGCGGGCCTCATTATATTCGTCGATAACATGCCATGTTCAATCTTCCAGGCTAGATTGTGGATACATATGGGTACTTGCTACCCAAGCCTTTTGAAGAACAGGTAAGATGAGACATGTTTTCCCTTAATTCCATCAGCAGGAATCAACTTTTCCACATGTGTAGTTTGCTTGATGACTCATGGCCGATTTTCTCATTCTTAGCCCGATGATTGAATGGTGTCGTAAATGCATGAAAATGACCTGACCTTTAAGCATCCTATTTATATGCCATATTTCTCTTGGATTTGTTCATCTACCAGATTAAAGTAGGCCCCCTGCCTCCACTATACTCCAGGACAGTAGACATCATCACACACAAGCAGGTAGTTATAATTAGTTGCAACCAGAAGAAGCTGATGAAACTTGCATTATATTTATATTGTCATCTTCTACGGCTAGCCCACTACTACTTATTAGCTGCAAGATCAGAAGCGACATAGAGAGTAAGCTGAACGAAGAGGCTGCCATGAGCTACTGGGGTTCCTCGCCGGCGTGGGGGGCGGCCCGCCACGGGCCGTCTCCGATGGTGCCCCTCATGGTGGTGCTGGCCCTGGGGTGGGTCATCTACAACGAGGCCCTGTTGGAGTGTTACGAGCGGGTGACCGAGGTGCGGGACACGGTGGCCGACAATGCCATGGTCTTCATCCTCGCCGCCGGGCTCCTGCTGCTCGCCGTCGTCCTCCTCAGCAACCAGATGGAGGTGGTCCTGGTGCCGATGGTGCTGGTGCTGGTCATGCTCTTGATCCAGAACATCGTTGTTGCCGCGCTCCTGCTGCTGCTGGCGGTGTACCTGGCCGGGATATACTACTACCCGCCTCACCGGGGCTACGGCGGCGGCGGCGGCGGCTTCGCCGGGGCCGGGGGTGACTGGACGGGCTGGGGCTGCGGGCTGGGGTTCTACATGCTGCTGCTGCTCTGCCTGGTGCTGTGCGCCATGTTTTCGGAGGAGGGCGGCAGCTGGTGGATCCCAGGCGTGCTGCTGGCTGCATGCCTGCTCTGCCTCAACCTCTTCTCAGGTGGCAAAGTCTTAGGCCAGGAGTACTTTTAACCCTTGTGTTCTTCGGGGCAGAGCTTAGTTATTGTTGTCTCATGGCATTACCGCTCATGGCTCCCTCCTTAGATTTGTCTGCTATCATCATAAGAATTTTAGCAGACGCGTGGTGACCGGTGACGCCCTGCTGCAAGGATTTGAAAGTAAAATGGACCTTTAACAGCGTCCCATGCATCCCATTTGGCCATGTTGAGCATGCTGGGTCGAGCTTCAGAAGATTAAAACAGAGGAAACGGCCATCATTAACACGAAACACATACATCAAAGAGAAATGCTAAGACGAGCCATTAATAGCACGTTCGTATGTGGAGTTTCAGACATAGCACAACTGAACTACCACTCTCAAAATGATTCGGCAAGTCTATCTGCAGGTGAAGTTTACTCACGCCCAAGGATAATCGATTTGGGCCGTCTTTGCACTTTGTGTAAGGTAAATAACTCTACCAAGTACTCCGTCCGTAAACTAATATAAGGGCGTTTAGATCACTACTTTAGTGATCTAAACGCTCTTATATTAACTTACAGAGGGAGTACATACTGTATCTAAGAGCATCTCTAGTCCTCTATCCTTTAATCCTCTAAACTTATCATTTAATCTCCTAAAACTTGAATTTGCGGGCACCTAGCCTTTTCCCTAAACTTAATCCCCTCAAACAAACTCGACCCCACATGTAAGCCTTTCTTCATCATCTTCTTCCTTCTTCCTCTTCTTGCTTTCATGTGGCCAGCAACAACTTCTCGCCAGTAGATGATGTCCATGAGCTAGCATGGGCCTGGGATAGATGATCCTCAAAAATAATTTGATAGAGGCTCACCGAACACGAAGTACACATGCGAGGAAGCAGAGGAAATTTGTCCTCCACGGGCTTTGGTTTGGGCAGTTCTTTGTCTGAATGGGTTCTTATCCTCTCCCTTCTCCTAGTGGCACGACAATGTTGTCCGAAACGGAACGATTTATCAGAATCTGCGATGGCAGCCGGCGGCCAGTGTGTTCTCCTTTATGTGATGCTTTTCCTTTAAAAGTGCTCCTCCGGCCATAGTGCAACTTTGCTCATGGCCCGGGACGACGTGAAGACAAAAAAAGCGCCGGAACCTCGCCGGAGACGGGGGGTGAGGGGGGTAGGCCCAATCGAGTCGTGAGCATCTCCTTATTTTTACTAAGTGTAGGCTAAAAGGTTTTGGGTAAGGGCTAGGTGGGCGATAATCCTGCCAACTATTTTTTAGGGGGATTAATGCTTTTTAGAAGAAGGGCTAAACATGCTCTAATATATGTGCTTGTACCCCATACAAGTGTACTCTCTATCCTCACCGTCCATTTTTGCATAAAAGTTTGTGCACGCAAATTTTTCTATTTTGTTTCTCACAAAAACAACATTTGAACTTGAAACTTTGAACATCCACATCACACAAGTACTACCATGTGCAAAGAAGTCTTCGGACTTTTTTGGCGCAACATATATTTAAAAAGAATGATATAACTCATTTAAAATTTGACAAATTTATATATTATAAAAAACAAAAACATTTTATGCGGTGAGTGGCACTTGTGTATAGTCAATCTGCAAAGTTCCATAGCGCAATGTTCTCTGAGTTTGGAAGAAACAAAAAAGAGAAAATAAGAATAGCACAAATCTTGACGCAAACTGGAGGGACGAGATAGAGGGTACACTGGTATTGGGGTACAGCAAATTCATACCCCTAATATACCGCTCTCATTTAATACTCCCATAGTTCTAGTCAGTAGACAAATGTCGAAGAAGGGAAAAGAGTACTATCGTGTTAAACATGAAAAGAAAGGGAGTACTATCTTACATTTCCTTTTTCCTTTTTAGACCAACCTCTAGATGCAATATTACAATCTTAAGGACCGGTAACCGTAAAAAAAGAATGAATGCAATAGATAGTAGGTGGCGGTGGCACTGGCAAGGAGGGTGGAAACCCTAATCGCCTAGGAGGTAGAGGAAAATGAGTGGGCTAAGAGGATTCCAAACGCAATTCACAAGATGACTAAGATTTGAGTTTCTTGTATAAGTGATTATTACTTTATAAAGGACTTT